ACATCATAGAAATATATCTACAACTTTATATCCTCTGTAGCGTTTTGTCTTTCCTGATAAGTGAATTTCTTCCTTGAGCAACCCTGTGGTATTGTGCCTGGGGAAACTGTCGAACCCAGAGGTGTTGTAATTTATTTTCACATGCCTTCCTGTTTCAGCTTCTGTGGTAGAAGATGGAGATGTTAAACCTGAGCCTGGGTGAGTAGTCAGCATATAAGCATGTAGTTATGGCAGTAGCAGTAAAACAGGAAAACAACAAATATTTGGTAAAGAACTGGTAGTCATAGGCATATAGCATAGGTGGTCTTTACACTATATTAAAGGCATTTCTCATTTAATAATTTACTTGTAATATACAAAGCTTGCTGTGTGATTGTTGTCCATCATGTGACTTTATAATTTTACAAAATCAGTATTAGAGAAACGTAAATAAATGATCTAATGTTATTTATTTATAATTTTGTTTCACTGTGTGGTGACCAAGAAGCTTGGTGCGACAGCCGTCCTTCAGACAAAAGAGCAGGCTCACCAGGTCAGTGACCAACTCTTCCACACGTCAGAATAAACAGATCACGCACAAATAAAGGCTTTAACATGCAGGTTGGATGCAGTCTAACATCTGACACGTCTTATGTTCAGCACCCCACGTCAAGGACTATGTTTGCCATCAATGAACTTGGGCCACAGCATAACTTCTAGCTGCTTCTCTGCCTCAACCTGGAAAAGTACATCAACGTGAGTCTTTTAAAGGATTTATTATTCGCCAAATTTCCAAAAATGGTTTTCAGATGACATGGTATACACCATTTCTAACATATTATTCACTATAGTGGTTGCATCTTTGATGCTTTGATGATTACATTAGCTGTAATACAACATTTTCTCTCCTTTTTCTCACACTAGTATATCAGATGTCCTCGAGTTGTGTTCAGAGGATGCAGAGGAGACTTTGTATGAGCTGGGTTTTGGCTGTGAGGAGCCACAGGTTACTGTGCGCATCCCTCCTCGTTTCTTTACCTTTCCTTCTCAGGCTCAGGGCATCAACTTCCGACTCTTCTTGGATTCACAAATAAGGCGGATAAGAGAAGAAGACCCCAGCCTCTCTCTTGCTAGTAAGACTATCTAGTTGTAGTTCTTCTGTTGGTTAGCTTGCTTTGACTTCTGTAGCTGTAATCTGTATATAATTATTTGATCTGTGATAAGGTAAATTATGTACATTTATATAAGTGTCTTGATTCCCATAGGTCGTTTCAGACAGGTTCAAGTGCTGACAGCAATGGCCAACGCTTTCTATTCCCTGTACTCCCACGTGTCCCGCACTCCTCTCCAGAAACTGTCCACACCGGAGTTTACCTTCTCTTCCTCTGTGCAGAGGATCGAACGGTTCAGAAGCAGCATTCGAAGTGAGCCACGCTCTCCGGTAGAGAGACTGAAGGACACTGTCAATAAGATGTGTCTCTACACGGGCTCTCCTCGGGGGTCTGACTCCACCTCTCCACAGCCTTCACCCAGGAAAAGATCCAGCCTGCCAGAAGTTGTGGATATAGTGTGGAAAAACAAGAGTGGAGTTAACAAGAAGCTGGATTTGGAGGAATGTAATAGCAATAATTCAGCTATGGATGTTAACCAGATCACAGACGGTGAAAATGGGCTGGAAACTCAACAGTCAACGACGGACATGGAGATTCTCGAGGACAGAAATATAACCTGTGAAACGGAGATGGGGGATGATAATAAACAGCCAAAGGATGTTGACTCTGGTGAAAATGACTCCATGACTCAGGGTGTAAGAACATCTGTAGCATCATCATTATCAGAAGAAACTGTCATAGAAACCGACTCTGAATCATTTTCATGTCAGCCAGAGCCAGACTCATGTTTGACACAAACTAACAAAAGGACAGCGGAACTAAAGCCTGTTGCCAAGGTTACATACGATTTAATTTGCCCCCAGATAGTCGAGAGTGTACACCGGGCACCTTTTTGCAGTCAAAGGACACACAGTCCGGAAAGTTTGACTCCCCCAGAGAGAGAAAGCACAGATAGATCCTGTTCTGTATCACACAAATTCAGTCTACAAGCCTCCGTGACAAAGTCGAACCTGAATTCACACACAGACGATGTTGCCTCTTCAGGTGAGGCCACGCGGGGGGACGCATCTAGATCACTTCCTGTCTCGGAACCCAGTGGTAGCTACACTCATTACTGCATAACTGTGACTGGCTGGGAAGGCGATGATGTGCCATCCTCTTCTTCGAAAACATCAGATTCTAGTCATGCTTCGCACGGTTTCTATGGTGAGAAAAAGTCTCCTTCAGAGAAGCAAGGACAGTTTCTGAATCCTCTGATGCATCAGAGCCTGGGCAAGCTCTCCAGTAACCTTCAGCAGGTTAATTCCTTTGAGCTGGAAGAGGTACAGTAGTTTTACAATAGGCTTCATGTTGCTTGTTATCTCAGCACTACCATTTGAAAAGAGTTTAACAATGCTTGGCTGACTTTCATTAAACAAAAGCAAACTGAGTACGTCACAAACTGATTCAGTAAACATTTTCCAAACATCATAATCAGTCATCATAATCATCATGATGAAAATGGTATAAATGGATATAACAAAATGATCAAATTATTACTCAAAAGCAATCTCACCTTCAAATATTCCATATGTTCTTTCCTCTGATAATGTTTGGTATTGGCGATGAACCATTTATGATTCATAATACGTGGGTGTTTTGTGTTGCTCACTTTGACCCAGAATACAGCCTGCATTAGGAATATGTCTTGTGCTTACATTGTTTCTCTTTCAAAAGGATTTTGATCATTGATTATTGTTTGTTATGTAAAGAAAAACAGGCCAAATAACAATATTATTTATCAGAAGTATTGAAAACCTAACCAAATGATACAAAAGAGGCTCTTATATTCACTTATATTTGGCTTCAAACACTGTATAGTGATAGACATCTATGATGCAATGACTTCTTCAGCTCTTGCTGTGTGTAATTGTTCATGAAATTATTTTTAAACAGTTACTAAGCAGGCATTCCCCTTGTCTTTTTAGGTGCATAGTGCAGGAGAGGAAGACTTGGGACAGTCAGAAACTCCAAGAACTACAACCTCACCATTTTCAAAAAAACATCCATACAAAGGTACCCTGTGTGCTCACATCTCATTTGAGGAACTTGACTTTTATTTTGTGAACACAGTTTATGGGAATTTGACTTGTCACAGTTTTAAAATAGCTGTTTGCAGTTAGCAGTGGTCATAAAATTGCTGACAAAAAAAAAAAAAAAGATGCACACAGTTATAACAGTTAAAATGTGTGAAGTCAAAGGGTGTTGCCATGTAACACTGCTCAGCTACATGTGAATAAACTTTGAGCTTACTGGAGGTCTTGTGTTGAGGTCAAATGAGGAACTGAGTAATTCAGGCAAACCCAGGTATAAAAATATACACTACTCGTGCTGGGTTGGACCCCTTTTTGTCTTGAGAACTGCCGTAATTCTTCACAGATTCAGTAAGGTGCTGAAAGCCTGCCTCAGACTTTCTATATTGAAATGACAGTACTGCGCACATCTGTGATGGGAATCTCCCATTCAAGCACATCCCAAAATGCTGTGTTGCACTGAGATCGGGTGTGTGTGTGGAGGTCATTTCAGTACAGCGAACCCACAGTGATTTGAGCTTTGTGACGTGGTGGTGGAAGCAGCCATCAGTAGATGGGTACGTTGGAGTTATAAAAGGATTGTCAGGAGCAAACAATGCTTAGTTCATACTAAGGGGGCCAAAGTGTGCCAAGAAAGTATCACCCACACCATTACACCACCACAGGTCTAAACCACTGATGCAAGGCAGGATGGATCCGTGCTTTCATGTTGTTTACATCAGAATCTGACCACACCATAGGAAGGTTCAATGCTTCAATGTCCGATGTGTTGTGTGTTCAGAGATGCTCTTCTGCAAGGCCATTCTCCTCTGACATCCACAAGGAATTTTTCACCCACATAATTGCTGCTCACTGGTTATTGTCTCTTTTTTTGCACCATTCTCTGTAAACCTTAGAAATGCAAAGAGCAGCCCATCTGGCACCAACAACCACGCCACGCTTCATATCACTTAATCTAAATCACCTTTCTTGGCCATTCTGATTCTCAGTGTGAACTTCACTAGGTCACCTTGATCATGTCTGAACATGAACATGCCTGACTTGCAGCCATGTGATTAGTCAATTAGATAAATGTGTTAATGACTGGTCGTACCTGCTAAAGTGGCTGGTGTGTGAATGTTTGAGCATGAATATGAATTCAGCATCACATGAGAGCTTGACAGATGTGTACACAAGTAGCTCTGCAGGTGTGTGTTTCTGTGCCTATGTAGGTCAGTGTGCTGCTGCACTTGTGCTGCACTTCCCAGAGTTTGGAGAACATATCTGACTGTGTTTGCTCCCTCGTATAGGTGAAGTGGTCCGCGGTGACAGTATGCAGTCGGACAGCAGCGGCTACGCAGACGAAGAAGTCAGCCCCTCATCAGACAGACACAGCAGATGACAGAAAGGTCATGCAAACAGCATGTACGGCAGTGCCTGAGTTTGTGAAACTCTGCCGAGGACTTCCTATCAAAATAAAATCATCGTACTGTAAGACTTGCTCATGTCACGATTTTAAAGGTTTTTTTCAGTGAGAATATTTTTGAACAAAGTATTAAGTTTTTCCATTGTGCTCATATTTAACAAAGATTATTGTATTCTTAATAAGTAGGCAGTGGAAAATCTTTTATTTAAATGGCAATCTAGTCATAATACAGGTGAAAGGCTGCATTTCAAAGATTATTCCTGTGGAGCTAACGTTTTACTTCCATTTATTGTTTTTGTATCACAGCAGAGGAGCATCACAAGTTTAATGTCAGCATCACCATCAGTTTCATGCACCTTGAACTCAATGTCAGTGTGAATAAAACTACACAAATGTGTCCATCCTTCATTGAGCGACAGACGTTTTCTTGAGTAGTGCAAAAAATAATTTTATTAAATGACTTCACAGCATTTTACCAACTAACAGCTACAGTAAGGCAAGGTGAAGTGACACAACAGGCAGTTACACTGAATACTCTGGAAGCCAGTCATCAGCTTTTATGTGGAAACTTATCAGTCACATCAACAGAAAAACAAGGGGATTGTTTTAATACTTTTGGAAGTCCACATGACATGATGGCTTTGTCTGGTGTGTGATATTGAAAGCTTAACACACGAGAGTGAGATTAATGTTGAGAAGAACAAACATTTATTATAAAACTCACTGTACCGCTTCCTTTTTCTGCCAACACATAGCTGTGTCTTTATCGCAACAGAAATGAATTTACAAACTTAACGTAAAGTGTGAGAAAGAAAAGAAATTAGACTGTGACACATCATGAAACTACGTGAGGGCAATTCATAACGGAGTTTCCCAAATATTAATGTTCTTTAGAAAACATAGCCAAACATTCAGAGCACAGCGCAGCAGACAGTCAGCTTTAATTTGGGGGTTTTAAATGTAAGAGCCTCTAACAGTGTTTTGGGGGTTGCTTAGCTTTGTTTGTTTGGAAAGTTAAAAAAAAGGTTTGCTTACACGGCAAAAGTAGTCGTTCTGAAACATAATAGACTAATTTATGTCACTGCGTAACGGACTGATGTAAAGCCAGCATGGAGGCTAGTTTGACACATCATGAGTAATGGGAAGCTGCCTTTGCTGAATCTTACAGTAAAACTATTTTACTCCTCTGAAGACCCAGTGACATGCTTTTATTTCCATGGAAACAGCAATGTGAAACATTTCATTAAATAAAACCATTTTCAACTCCCTGATTTAACATCAAAGTTACCTTAAAAAGCCCAGAACATTAAAAACATTATCAAGACACTGGGATTTCAGATGCCACTGTGTCAGTTCAACTGACCAATTAGAACATATGGGGGAGGGGTGGGGGGGCCGCACAATAATATAAGTGGACTGTTTCAGAGAGAGGGCAACAAAAGGTGTAGCCACAAATAATGTGTTTATTAAACATTAAATCATATAAACCTAATCTAACAGACCCAAACAAAGAACTAGCATGTGACAGGGGGGCTATTTTCATACTAAAACCAACATTTTTTAACACTTGTGTGTAAAATGGTTAATCTTCAAGATGATTGTCCTATGACAATAACTCAGCAGTCTCTTTTTCTTAATTTTTCTTCAAGTCTGGGCTCTTTTAGGTCCGTGCATGAAAACAGGGATTTAACAAAGCAGCAGTGAACGGATGACTCCACTCCATTTTCTTCAGACCCCTTTCACTCCCTGGTCATTTCACGGCATCAGAATTTTATCTCAAGTTATTTGCAACGTATAGTTTACCACGATAGCACCATTTATAAATTCAGATGAAAACAACTAGGGTGATATAGAAAAGTAAAAATACATAATTAGTGATAAATATTGTAAATGTCAAGTGATTTTTTTTTGGGGGGGGCAACTAAATCTTCATTGGCATCATCAATAGGACTTTTAAAAAATCTCGGGGCATAAAGAGTCTTCATTTCTAAATTTGAGGTAATTCATGTTATTTGAGTTCATCACAAAAGTGCCTCCGTCATCCAAAGTAGAAATTTATGATGGCATTTTGTAGTGGTGAGTTCAAGTCTGTGAGGGAGGGGGGCTGACACGCTCGTCATTTCCCTCCTGCCATGATTTTGAGGTACTGCAGTGCATTGTGGGCTGCGTTGGCTCGGGCACCATCTGTGTTTGGGGCGAAGCCGTGACACACGGTGATTGGCTGCGTGGAGAGCTCCACGAGACACTGACACAGGCCGCTGAGACTGCGCTCCTCTGAGAACAGAAGGAACAAAATACAAAATCACCAGTTTCATTTTTATTATAAAATAGATATTTACAGGATTGCTGCTACTTTTTAAATAATATCATAACATATGTGTGGTGTACTTCAGAATGAAAGATTTGACAGTTAACATTGTTATTAATACTGTACATCTAATTCAATGTACCGTTATTATATACAGGCATAATAATAATATGATCAAAACTACTGTAACTAAAACATATATAAGAATATAGTAATAACTACCCTCATCTACTGCGTATTTTAAGAAAAACTAACACTTTTGTCACGATTTCATAGATCATATAGTTTGCAGAAGATAAAATAATGACCGTGACAGGTTTTAATACTAAAAAAAAGAAAGAAAATGTGTGTTAATTACACAAATAAATCGAGCAGAGATAACAAACAAATGCCAATAATTCGATTCATTAATGTAAATCTGCTACGTTAAACTGTTGTTTCGGTGAAGAGCTTTAAGCGCCTTGTGATTTGGCGCTATATAAATAAAATTGAATCGAATTGAAACTGTCCACATTAAAAAAATGGTTCTACATAAAACCAAGATAACAAGCAGCTGCAGGCTACTTCCTCAATATCTGGTGACAGTAATAACGACCACAACACAGCTTGCCTTTTTTTTATGGGCATGACATCAAAATCTAGCCTGTATCCTCTGCAAGTGCGTGCAGATGGTGCAAACCAGATGTGAAACAGTAAGAGGCTTTCACAGCCTAACAGATCTTAAGCAGCGCAGTGAAAACTCCACTGAATTACCATATTTAACAGATACTAACAAAAATGCAGCTCTTCCTGTCAGCAGGCGCATCAGCAGCGGCTCTTTACGCTTTGTATACCATCCTCCTTTTAACGAGAATGCAAGAACGCAAGAGAGAAGTGTGACAGGTACGGTCTGTGAACTCACCAAGGTCCAGGTAGCTGACATCAAAGCGCTGCTCCAGAGACAGTTCACTCAGCAAAGAGCAGAAGTTGGAATCAGAGGGCATGCCCAGAGGGTGGCTGCGGAGTTGGAGGATCTTCTCACCGGCAGAGTTACGCAGAGAATCCCACGTGCAGCTGAAGCCTTTACTTTTACCCGACTCCACTCTGCTGCCCATGTTCTGTGCATGCAGGAATTAATGGACAATGTCATTACGTGCCATAACCATGAGACAGAAGAGTAACAACAGAGCATATGAATCAGAGATTATGCTAAATTAATAATGCTTCAGGAAATACAGAAAAATGAAATTTACAAAAATATTTTGTTACTACGTAGAAGTGAACTAAACTGTAATTCCTCTAATGATGCTTAAAAAAACATTTGTCAGTCAGTGTGACAGCGTTTGATTCCCACCATAGTAAATGTATCATCTTCGGCATCAGGATCATTGCTGGTCCTCATATCTACGGGGACATCATGTATGCGTGACAACATCTTAGCTGCTGCGTTTCTCTTGGCTAGCTTCTTAGATGTACCACTTCCTGGAGAGGAAGAGGAGATTGCATCAGAAACCAAAGGATGTGCTTGATATCTCTTAAGTTTTCATGCTTTAAGAGAGTAAGTCAAGGAAAGTCACAACTTAGTTGACCAGTGTGAAAGGTGTAACAAAAGATATATGATTTTGCTCAGTTTTATTAAGCTGTTTTCTATCAATAATATTTCATTAGTGAACACACACACACACCCACACACAAAATTGTGTTTTCATGTCTTTGTGGGGACATCTAATTGACACAATGCTTTTCCTAGCAGCTTACCTTAACCATTAAAATTGAATGCCTAACCCTAACTGTAACCCTGACACTAAAACCATATTTTGAGTCTCAAAAATGAAACTCGTGGGTCAGGCATTTTGTCCCCACAAAGATATGTAAGCATGGTACACACATACACACATACACACATACACACGCGCACGCAGGCTGAGAGATTGAAACAAAGCAACGTACCGATTTCTACAAATCTCTCCACTCTGCAGGTCATGGTGAACTCTTTGCGATGTGCTGGACCAGACTCTTGAGTGACCGTGTACTCTGGCAAACGCCATCCTTTCTGCACCACCAGCTCCTGACAGAACAAAGTAAAAAAAGAAACCAAAAGTTGGAAAATTTATAAGCCGCAGAAATAATGAGAGCAAAATGAAACCTTGGTAGCTGTCTGCGTTTACCTGCAGAGCCCCTACAGGGTTGCATTCAGACTGCTGTGAAGTGCCTGTGGTCTTCATCTCTGACTGGGCACTACACAGAGGTTGAGAAAAAAACAAAAAAGGAAACAATGAAACCACACAACGCTCTGTCTTACTCTTGTTAAGTGTTGAAATGCTCTTCATAACATTCAGGCTGGCCTGCTTATTAGATGTTTAAAGCAGACTAAGCTGGATGGATAAACATTTTTAAATAATTTTAACTGTAATGAGGTTGTTTTATAAGAAAATAAATAAAAATTAAACAGAAAAACTGACCCATCTGCATCAGTAGACACATCAACCCCAATAAACCCGTCTACTCCAATACCAACTCCAGCAGGACCTCCGAGGCCTCCCTTTAGCATCTTCAGAGCAGCCTCAGCTGCTTTGTGCTTGGCTGCCTTCTTGCTGGGCCCCTGGCCGGTGCAGCTGATCTCTCCGACGGAGACGCGGAACGTGAAGTTGGGCTGGTGGGCCTGTCCCTCGGCCTTCAGCAGGTCATACACTGGGGTCTTGCCTATCCGCGTTCCATACTCCTGCAGCAGACTGATGGGCGTCTTTCCGGGATTCACAGCCAGCATTTGCTCAATACTACATAAGAGAAAAACCTCGCATGAGACAGACTCTCCAGAAACACCTTTTCATGCAAACAAGAAAAATAATTGTATATAGGGTTTAATATACTGTGTGTAACTTCATAGTTTTACTTTGTTATTTCTTATTTATTTTTATTTTCATTTTTATATCTATATTTATTTTATTTTTTAATCACTCACAGTTTTTTATTCCATTAAAAAATTAAAACAAAAACTATTAGGAGAGTAAAAATCTCACTAAATATTACGGGGAACTATATTTTTGATCCTTTTTCTATATATTTTGAATTCTCTGTCTTCAAATTACAGTTACAGAAACAATTACAGTTACATATATCTATGCTTATATTCACCAATTAAAGGAGATTTTAATTCCCCTGAAACTTGACAGAAATATCAAATAATGTTGACAGAAAAGTTGAATAAAAAATGAAGTAAAAAGAAGAAAAATGCAATGATTTCAAAGTCTGATCTGTGTAAAAAATATATGGCTGCAAAAATGATCATAAAACATCTGTGCAAAGTTGTGCTTCATTCTCACTGGAGAAACCAAACAGCCACTTCATAAATGCACGGCACAACATAGAAGAGCCACCTCGACAAGACAAGACTCAGCTGTACGTCTGCATCTAAAGGTCAAAGGTCACTCTTTCAAGGATGTCAATATTCACATTTTGGACAAAGAAGACAGTTTGAAAGAGGAGTGAAAGAAGCCATCTATTTGAAGCACCATTTTTGAACTCTCTGCCCTACACTATCCTGCAGCATCTGGACTCCCCAGGAACCTACGCCAGGATCCTGTTTGTGGACTTCAGCTCTGCCTTCAACACCATCCTTCCAGACCATCTCCGAGGCAAGCTTTCCCAGATGAATGTGCCTGATCCCATCTGCCGGTGGATCACTGACTTCCTGACGGACAGGAAGCAGCATGTGAGGCTGGGAAAGAATGTCTCGGACTCCCGGACCATCAGCACCGGCTCCCCTCAGGGCTGTGTTCTTTCTCCTCTGCTCTTCTCCCTGTACACCAACTGCTGCACCTCCACCCACCAGTCTGTCAAGCTAATCAAGTTCTGCAGATGACACCACCGTCTATTGGGCTCATCTCGGACGGGGAGAGTCTGCCTACAGGAGGGAGGTTGAACGTCTGGTGACCTGGTGCAGCCACAACAACCTGGTGCTGAATGCCCAGAAGACAGTGGAGATTATTGTGGACTTCAGGAAGCACACAGCCCCACTCCCCCCCATCATCCTGACTGACACCCCCATCACCTCTGTGGACTCATTCCGCTTCCTGGGTACCACCATCACCCAGGACCTGAAGTGGGAGCCCACCATCACCTCCGTCATCAAGAAAGCCCAGCAGAGGATGTACTTCCTGAGGCAGCTGAAGAAATTCAACCTGCCAACACGGACGATGATGCAGATTCTACACTGCAATCATCGAGTCCATCCTCACCTCCTCCATCACCGTGTGGTACGCTGGAGCCACTATCAGGGACAAACAGAGACTGCAGCGTGTTGTGCGCTCTGCTGAGAAGGTGATTGGCTGCAGACTCCCATCTCTGCAGGACCTGTACACCTCCAGGACACTGCGGCGTGCAGCTCGGATCTCAGCTGACCCTTCTCACCCTGGACACAGTCTGTTTGACCTGCTCCCCTCAGGCAGGAGGCTCCGGTCCATTCGCACCAGAACCTCTCGCCATAAGAACAGTTTCTTCCCCTCTGCTGTTGGACACATGAACAATAACCACATGACTGTCCCCGCCACTAACACATGACCCTACGCTGTGTCACTGCATCATTTCATGTTTGGCACTGATCACCACCTGCACTCATGTATATATCTTTCTACGTAGCACTCTAATTCTTATTCTCATGTATATATCTCATGTATATCTCATGCACATATCTTTCTTTCTACATAGCACTTTAATTCTTATTGTTTGCACTGAAGCACCGCAGCAATTTCCTAATGTTGTAAACCTCAACATCTGGCAATAAACCCCATTCTGATTCTGATTCTATAGTGTAGTTTTGCGATCTCTTCCCATGTAACTCACATGATAGGGTGAAGCAATGTCTCACAATGGGTTCACCCGAAACCTCTGCTGATAATGACCAACACCCTGTTTCACATCTTGGCCCATGTGATGAGGCACATGATCAACAGTTGCTTACAATCTAGGACTTTCCAGCATTTGGTCTTAGAACTGACGTAGCTTCTCAGATGAGAGGTAAAACATCTTCAAGAAACTCAAAGAAGTCCAGTCCCTTTTCTTTCCAAGGTCCTTAGATTACGATGACCTGGACGACTGAGAACCTACACAGACATTTCTTTCTCAAGCCTTCAAGTGCAAACTGTCCACAGTAATGTGCTTTAATAATGAATAATTCAGTGTTACAACTAGATAAGCTCTATGGAGCTCAGGTCCTCAAACATGGATAGACTTAGACCAAAAAAACCTTTTAGTGGAGATTTCCTGTTTAATGCACGTGCTGTAGATCAATACAGCCGTCGCTGATCTAATTATTCATTAATAGTCACTTTCTATGGGAAAGGGGAAGCTTACAAAAGTTTTCAGTGTGAGTGTAGCCACTTTATTATCGGAGAGTCTGAACACAGTGTGGAAACTGAGTAAAACACCACGAATGTCACCAAAGTCTGCAGCAGCCCCGATGCCGTCATTCTGGCGTCACAGTTTTGCAACATGCAGCTGTCAGGAAAAAAAATTACTAGCAGCTCGTGTTTACAGCTCTGTTTCTGAAACCCTACTAAAAGCCAGCCTTCTCGTCTTGTTTGTTACTGGAGGAGGAGTGTGGTGGTCAGACCGGGGGAGCTGTTAGCTTAGCTTTACCTGGAGCACCCGGAGTTTCTCTTCCAGCTGTCCGATGCTGTCTCGTCGTTCATTCCCTATTTCACGCAGACAGAGCCGGTCGGTTTCGGATGGCAGATCCCCCCCACCAAAACAGACACTTGCTTTCATCAGACGCTGTTTATTGTTCCCCCTTACAGATGATGAGGCGACGGCATAAAGCGAAGCCCCCCCGTCACTGCCGCCCCGACAGACTACAATAGCGGAGTCCTCTGGCGCGATGATATGACGTCATCGGCTCACTGCGAAACATCTGTTTTGGCACATTTAACGTTGAGATTTCACGAAACGTGTATTTCTATGGATGGTACAGACAGAAGTAAACAACAGGCGTCAATCCAAGTATTTATGCACATTAGAGAGGTAAAAGATTCAGACATTCTTCTTTCGGCTGTTCCCTGTAGGGGGCGCTAAACACACCATCTGCTGTAGCATCGTCTTCTGTCACACCACCCTACTGCATGTCCTTTTTCGCTGCATCTATGGATCTTCTCAGTGGTCTTCATCTTTCCCCCAGCTTGGCAGCTTCATCTCCAGCTCAAATCTCAGCATCTTCTGCTCTGCCTGCTGTCTTTTGTGAGAGCCATCATCTCCAAACCGCGAACATGGTCCACATTTTTTGGTAAATGATCGCTTTCACGGTAGCCAATCTTCCACCTCAGGCCACTGAGGATTTAAAAACAGATTGATAAGAAAATAGAGAAGTCCTGCATGACGTTGAATTACATTTGTTACTTAACTTTTAAGTTATTTGTTTAGGTTGTAAATAAAAAATGGCCTTACAGTTTATTTTTTTACAGTAATTTCTACAGTTGTATATGTTTTGCATGAGGTAGCTACACTGTGTATGTGCCCAATTATAGGCTACAGATTTTGATAAGTTTTACTGGGAATGGTGTGGTGTTCCTAAATGTAACCAGAAGAGGGCGACAGTTAGCTATAGATTTCCCCTGCTGACAGCCCTCCCTGTCGGGTCCCTGGGATGTCCAGCACCTGTCATATCCACTACAGACCAACGTGGCAACACGAGAAATTCCTTTCGTGTAGTGGACTGACCACCCTAAAGCTGAAAATAAGGTTTCGAAATCAGATATGCCCCAAAGTGTTTATTCTGAAAACATTCAGAGTTAAACCTCTCCATGGAATAAAAAAAGGTTATAAACTTTCAAAATAAACATTTTCAGCACTTTTAATTTATTTTAAACAATTACAATGAAAAATAATTTACCCAAGTAAATGTTTTTACAATCATATTACAGTCAGGCAGCTCTTTTAATTTGGGATCTTTTTCCCTGCTTGGTTTGGAAAGACGTGTCTTCATAAATAGCCAAAGGAACCGTGCAGACCCCAGAAATCATCTGAACCCACAACGTCAGAGTCTCCTTTCCAAATTATGTAGCAGCGCTTTCGTAAAATGTTTCATTTTATTAGCATTTTCCACCTTTCCATGAATTATCTTTAATTCCGGGGATCAACAATTAATCCCATGATGGTGCGCTTGCAAAGCCCTGCTGGCCACTGTCGAACCGGAGCTCTGAAAACTTCGTCCACTGGCATCAGCGTGTCAGTGTGGATAAGCCCGCTTTGCCAAACGCAACACAAAGTGAACTGGCCATGACAATGAGTAGAGCTGCCTCCCATTTGAACTCCTAAACCTACAATCCGAGCAGCGTGATTTATCACTGACCTGAGTATCTGTGACCGGAGTGCACCCCTCCTCCTCATTACTCATACTTTCAGCGTTAATTTGTCTTATTCTCCGAGACTTTATTTATCAGCTGAAGGCTCCAATTTATTGACCTATAATGTGATAATGTAAGCGTTTTTATTGAGCTTGTGGTTAAATCTTTGACTGAATGAGATCAGCGATGAATGCCATCTCTTAGCAGTTACAGTATACTTCATCCAAATTGTATGCGCACATCCACAAACACGCTTTCCTTTTCCCTGCCTTGGCCTGGTGCATTAGTATGTGTGGTTCTTTGCTTGCCAAAATCATCAGTAGATATCTTGAATCCTCGAGCTGCTCTTTTTCCCTCCTTCCACAATATGATGTGTTTCCTTTTTTGTGTGTGTTTTGATCCTTCTCTTGCGGCCAGGCTGCGCTGTGGTGAGGCGCGGGTTCGAGTGGCGCTCCTGTGTTATTTTTGGCAGCAGCAGTGGTTGGTGGCTGTTGAGGAGAGAGGAGACAGAAGGGGGATAGCATGAAGACCAAAACCAAGGCTGTTTAAGGGATTTCTGTCTGAAGGAATTGCTTTGTAATGATCGCACACTCATTATGGATGTGCGTGCGTGCATATACATTCACTCACGCACACAGAAAAAAAAAAGCTGGCATGCACATTTGTTCATTTAACACTTCTCAAACACCTCATATACATGCTCCCATTCACGGACCACACACTCTGTGGCTAAATTGCCCAACCTGTGATTTCTTTTTTCTTTCTCACTGAATCTACACGCTCCACTAGCTGTCATTTGAATATATCAGCACAGTCACACCTTCGGCTTTGGTTAAATTTCTGTGTTTCTGTCACACTGGGAGTATCTTTTGCTGTGAATGTTCTCTCTTTCTCTGATGGAACCAGACTGAGACTGACATGCTCAGGCAACACGCAGTGTCAGACATTCACGCTCCTCCCTCTGCGCTTCTGAAAACACCATTTGAAAAAGATTTTCTCCGACTCCGCTCTTGGCCACAGATCAAGAGAACGTTATTACTCGACTTTATTTATTTATATATTGTGGTGGTAATGTGTGTGAATGTATGCGCGCTTGTACGTATGTGTGAGTGAGTGATATGTAATTGTGTATGTATGTGTGTTAACCCGCAAAGATATTTCAATTTCTTCAGAATATTAAATAAACATGCAGCAGCAGCAGCAGCAGCTTCAGTGAAGCGCTGCCTGCCAGTGGGTTTTGGGTTGGATGGGTGGCGGTGGTGGTGGTGGTGAAGGGGGAGAGGGGGTTTGTGGCCGTGGCTCTGGGGGGGTGAGGCAGCTCATGGTCAGGGCCCCCGCCGGACACACTGGCGCCTCGCGCTGGAGGACTTCTGAACCACCACACTCCTCCACCAAACCCTGCCAACCCTGGCTCCCAGCTCCCACTTCCAACCCAAATCGCTCCGTTCTCCTTCTGCGTTTCGACTCTCTGTCTCTCTCTCTTCTCCCTCCTTCCTCCCTGACTGTTTTTTCCTTCTTCGGTTTCCTCATTCTGTTGATTCGCATCCAGATTCATTTACTATTCGACTCCGTTCTTTTTCTCACTTACTGCTGTTCTTTCAGTGGCGGTTCTCCCCGACTCTGTTTTCTCTACCTTTTCTCCTGAGAGCTGTGGGTTTTTACACCTCCGCCACCCCTTCTCTGCACTGTCTCTCTTAAATCCCTTCACTTTAAATGTTCCAAGGAAGTATTTAGTGGCTTGACTTAAAAAAAGTAAACAAGGATGGTTTGGGCTCTGTGTCAGTCAGAATACCGTCAAGATAGTAAGCATTTTCAAAAGGAAAGAACACTTTAATGGTGCTCTAGATATTTGTAACGGTATTAGGTTATAATGGGCCATCAATTTTCTGAGTGGTTTTCCAACCAGCTCCAAGAGATATAGGCCTGCTTGTCTTGAAAGAAAGAAACTTTCCATCATGGCAAAAATGGGGTAAACCGTGCTTTGCTGTATATGTTCTCGTGATAGATTCTGTTAAAGCTGTGATTTGCACGCGAAGACAGTTAGGATTGGGCGTACGTGATTATTGACAAACAGCCAACGTGTGCGCCTCATTCAAAGCCTGTGAGCAAATGTGTGTGTGTGTTTTTTTCTTCAAAGAATATCAACTGCACCTATTACTGCGCATATTTGACTTATGGATGCCAAACATCCTAAGTTGAGCAGATATGTCTTTACGTGTCACACATGCAATTTTCTTAACCTAATTTTCCCCTGGAAGCAATTTGTCATCCGGAGGCCATTAAATGGGAAGCATATTATCTTTTTAAAGGGGCACAGAGTCACCCACAACCCTCCCACAGTTCCTATAAACAAAATGGCCTCATTTAGTGGTGCATTTGGTGCGTTGGGCAGTGAGGGAGCACTTCTTTTTAAACTTTAAAGGAACTTCACAGACTAGGGGAAAAAGCTTTAATATTGTAAGATTAGCATTGGAAATAAGAGAAGCATTACAAGTTTGATGGTGTAAGGCGCACGGCTTATACTTGATTCATTAACACCAAGGTCGGCCAAACCTCGATCGCCAGTGTTACGGTGAGTGTAGCACAGCGAGGAGATTTAGGAAGTAATGCAGTAGGATTGGGATTGAGTGGAATTTACTGCGCAAATAAAGCAAAATCCACAAAGATGCTTAATCACTGAGAGACATCTTTTGTACTTTGAACTTTTTCATAGTGCAGTTTCCGCTTCAGCCACGTAAAGCATTGCTAAAAAAGATAAAAACAAATCATCAGCAAAGCATGCTTGACCTTTTTACCTCTTGCCCTCTGTTACCTGTAATGTCTTTCTCCTTTACCTTTGTTTCGTTTAGCCTGACCTCTTTTGCTCTTCGGGTCGTGCTATGGTTCACTCAGGTCACTTTACTTTTCCACTTTGCCACTAAAGCCTTATCTTGTCGTTACTTGCGGCCTGGCTGTTGAGCCTCTGGGCATGCTGACATTCTTTCCCATTTCAGCCCACTGTTCGCCACAGAGACCCAGGCACACCTGCAGACACCTGCGCTTTTGTCCTGCCTCTCACAAGCCCCCGCCTGCACATGCTGGCAGGTAGAGGTAGGGGTACTTGTGCCTGTGGCTATATCAGAACACAGCCCATTGTTTTACGTGACTAATCAGTTAGGACCGGATAATAGCAGGAAAAGAGGTTAATTAGCATTTTGTTCAACACATCACGATGAGGGCTTTCATTCTAATGAACTGGAATCTGATCCCCTCCCCGGAGTAATTCATTAAGCTTGAGTTTGCGTAACTCATCGAGTCGTCAACGCTTAACAAAACACCGGGCGAGGAAATATTCTAAAATTGCTTCTTTGTTTTTGTTAGATCGGAAATTAGTTGCACGATGGCTTAAGCAGGTGTGTCTAGGATCCTCTGGAATAACCTTTTTAGTCTTATTAAGTCTGCTTTTGATTTTGTAAATGGAGCAAATGGGCACTTGTGGGCAAACCATATGGAACAGATTGTCCCAGCTTCTGCTTTTTGCCTCTATGTGTCACTGCATGTATATTTTCTTTTTACGCCGTTACTTGAAGAAACACTTAATGTTTCCTGGCTTTCTAAATAAAAGAAGTAAAAATAAAGTTAAGGCTACAGTATACCACCACCACTGCAAAGGCAGTGTATTTTAAAAAGGCAGAAAATACCAGTAGTAGCAGAGGTTTTAAAAGCCACTGACCGTCTTCTTAACCCCCCCACCCTCTCTCGCTGGCCTGACACACCCTACCCATACCTCATTCCCCATGTTTGCCTTTTATGTTGTGGACTCGACCGTGTGCCCACTTCAGACCACCATAAACATGTCGGCCCTTGATGACAGAGTCGGCCCCGGGACGTTTTATATAAATTGACCTCAACTACAGCTCATTAGAAGCCCTAAATTGGAACCATGCAGCCTGGGAAGTGTAAATGTTACAATAGTAGAGTCAGTAGATTCAGGGGGGTTCAAACAGTGCAGGTCTCCTCTTCACTTCTGTCATGAAAGTCTTTGCTTTTATGAAGCCAGTGTTTTGTTTCCTGTTCTAGTTTAATGTATTGTAATTGTTTACGAATTGAGATTTTCCATGAAACTTGACCATATCTCTACATTTGTCATGTGTGCTTGCCTGCCTTGCTATATCTTGTTGGAAATATGCTTAATTATGACAAAGATTAGCTCCTTAAATCATTGTTGTCTGGCACTGCTACTGGTGCACATATCTGGGGCCTCATTTGGTCTATCCTGAGGCTATCTCTCTTTTAAAACACAGCGGGAAATCCGCCCTCCTAAAGTATTTTTATTAGTCTGGAAAAGCCTGAGTAACCTGACAAGAAAGTGGTGAGAAGGACAAACAAGTGCCACTTGTTGGGACTTTAACTCTTCCTCAAACCCAGGAAAAGTGGCAGAGAAAAAGAGAGGCGTTTTAAAAGATGCTTGGTGATCGGCTCGGCCTCTTCTCAGCGTCTGTATCTCCACATCGTGTCTTTCGTCCCGCATCCTTCCTTAATTGGGGTTCTTTGTTTGACCGCCTCCCTGGATAAACAATACAACCACAGCTCCCCTGTCCTAATCCCCTCTTCTCCTCTCTCCTGACTCTCCTGGAGCATCGCTCTCAGTAATTACCCCTCTCGAGCTGGAGAGTGGAGTAATTGTCTTGAGTGTAACTACAGTGGATCTCTGAAAGGGGGTCATTGTGTGGAGTTAAGACTCCAATTCAGTGAACAGCTTTGTTTGTGCTGCAAAAGATAATGAAAGTATTTGGTTAGCCAGGCTGAGGTGGAAATACAGTAAGATATGAAAAGAATGATGTGAAGTGAGGCGAGAGAAGGGGATAAAGTGTGATAAAAATGATAAAGTGAAGGCTCATGGAAGAATTGCTTCTCATTATTTCCGTCTTCATGTTAAAGCTTCCTCTCTGAAGGATTTTGTGTAGGAACAACACAAAAAAATTCTCTTTCAAATTTTTTTTTACTCTTAAAAGCACCAAAATTGTCATTATTCCACACCATAAACCTTACAACATGTGTACCATGCTTCATCGCTATTTACAGTATCTTTTACACTCATTTCACAACAAGTCAGCAAACACCAGGACTTCAGTTCTGCCTAAATAACAAAATTAATAATCAAAAAAAATTAAGCTTTTACTTTACGTTCTTTGTTGTTGTAACCAAAGCGTTCTAGACATCATTTCTTGTGGAAAGTTATACAAAACATAGAAAATGCATAAAAAAATAACACACCTATATACATATCTATATACTGTTGTCAATATATAGTATGCACAAACAAGGAAGAAAGCCCTTATTGATCATTATTTTGCCAGGTATGGAAGACTTCACAATTAAAAGATTATATAAGAATTAGTTTACACGCACATTTAACTTCAAGGTTTATAAATAAAACTTTTAAAACAACCCCCAAACTCTTCCTTATAGCTAATAAATAAGAAAAAACAGTCTTAATTTAATGTATTTCATTTTCTTTTTGGCCGGCTTCAACCATCTTGCATTCTTTTTTTTCTTCAGGTATTTCCTGCAGGTGCAAGATAATCTTTCATGTGTATAATTTAAGACATAAATTAGATTATTAAAGTAAATATGAAATTAAATTAGACATGGTAAGAAGCAAACAGCAAACAAAGGTGAAATGCAATACCTTGTACAACAGAATGTCTTTGGCAACAAAAAGCTGTAAGTGTAGATTGTCCATTGATTGTTTCAAGAATAATGAATAAGTATCAAAGTACAGCTGTAAATCAGATTTTTCTCTAGGCATGCAATGCTTCATCGACTCCATCATCCTGACCATAAGTCTCGTTTTAAAACTACTTTCCTTTTGCGGCTTCAGAGCTCTTTTCCTTCTGCTTTTGCAGATTAAATTTCCCCAGTGGTTTGTCTCATTTGAAAGGCAGAAAATGTGTGTAGGCTACAAAATTTGTGCACGAGCATGTTTACTTGTATGTGTTTCCGAGCAGACGTACTTTTGTGTATCCCCCTGCATGCATGCATTATGGATGTTTGCACATTTGCTCATAGTTATTCCTGTTCACATGTGCATATTGTGTTCATTTATGTCTCGGTCGCTCATATTTGTGCATGTGTGTCTGCATACATTTGAGGATCGCTATATGTTTGCAGGCTTGGTCATATTTATGCTTGTGTGTGTGTGTGTGGTCCAGAAGTGATTTCAACCTTTATCAGTCCTGTATCATATCAAGTCTTTTCAAACACTGTCTCCTTTGTATGTCTTGAAATAAAATACAGTTTTGTGTTTGTAAGGTGAGTTTTTTTCCTATTTAAAAAAAACAAAAAGAAGAAAAGAAAACACCTCTAAAATTTCAAGACTTCATCAAGTCAGATCTCCAACAATCCACTGCTGTTCTCCACCCCGTTAGGCGTGCCAGTCTTCTCATCTCCGTTGGTGATTTGGTCAGCGACAGGATTGGTAGGTACAGCGCTGGAGTTGAGCTCTGTGGTCTCTTCGCTCCGAGAATCTGCGTCTCCCTCCACAGCTACAGCTTTGCCCTGCATTGCAGAATCTGCGTGGGTCTTCTGATGCTTTGAGAGGTGGTCGCTGCGTGTGAAACGCTTGTTGCACAGTAGACAGGTGAACTTCTTCTCCCGTGTGTGGGTGCGCACATGCCTCTCCAGTTCATCAGAGCGGGTGAAACGTTTCCCGCAGAACAGCCAGTTGCAAACAAAGGGCCGTTCGCCGGTGTGCCAGCGCAGGTGGGCTTTCAGGTGGGAGGCCTTGCCGTAGACTTTCCCACAGCCCGGGATGTGGCAGCTGTGCACTGGTTTCTTCCTCAGGGATGCAGCAGAGGCTCCCAGCCTCTCCAGCTCCTGGCAGTTGGGGCAGTCGCATGAAGACCGGGTGGGTGTAGCCCCTCCGCTGTAGCCCCCTGATCCCCTAGCAGGCTTTAGCCCCATGGGATTCTCAATTAGCCCTGCACTTGGCACAGGTTTGGGCTTGTACATGTCCTGGGGCAGCATGTGCTGGGAAGGTTGGAGGAGATGTGAGGAGGAGCCCAGTCCCACGGAGGGGTAAGGAGCTGGGTTAAGTGGTGTAAAATCGGTGCTGTAACTGGGCAGCTGTGGGCTAAGGGATGCCTGTGGTGCCACAGGCTGCAGGGAGGACTGCAGACCTCCATCTGCTTGGGGCTGGGTTGCTGACAGCCAGTTGGAGTTGGGATGGACATCCCACCAGGAAGATGTAGCATTAGCTGGAGCAGCAGTTATGCCAGGGTGGATACCAGCCTTATACCACGAGCCATAGGGGTGTGTCATATCCAGCGAAGTATACACACTGGTGAGACAATCGGCTGTAGCATGGGCCTTGGACACTAAAAGAGACGGGTCCTGTGAGACCGAAGTCTGGAAGGAGTGAGAGAAAGGGTTATATTCTGTAGTGTAGCCTCCGGCTGAAGGAGGGGGACTTCCAGTGGGTGTAAGCAGCCCGCCACCTCCTCCTCCTCCAGCTGAAGTGAAGGAGCCAGTGTAGGAGTCTGCCAGGCCACTGCTGTCTGTGGTCCGCCCGTTCTTGGCTGTCTGAAGGTCAGAGGTCATGTTGTAGGGCTTCTTTACTGGAGAGGTGCTGGCAGTCTTACCGGGTGTAGCTGAATCCCTGACAGGGCTGGTGCTGCCAAACTTGTTGCAGGTAGCTGTTAACATAGCCAGAGGACTGGAGCCATAGCGTGCGTCTTCCTGGGGAGGAGGAGACACGGGAGAAAATTAGACTTTCTGCAGGAAATGGCTGCTTGCTGTTGCCGCTTCTGTCAGTGTCAACTCTAATAAAAAACGTATGTGTGACAACCACCGCTGGCTTTTCCTCCTCTCTCTGTTTTCTAAGTGGTCACGGCAATTTTAAGCAGTGGATGTTTGTGTTTGTAAAGTTTCAGCTGTGCTCAGCAAAGGAACTCCCTCACTTTTAGTTTTGCCCAAACTGCTTTCGACCAGCTTAAATTAATTTAACATTTATGTTTGCTTGAAAAATACAAAAATCCACCTGAATTTACAGTTCTCCTCATACAGACGATTTAAATATGTACCAGGTCATCTAACTGCCATCATGGCAACGAGCTATTGTTCTCCGTCGTGATCTTATTATCTACAAAGCAAAAAATGTGCCATTTTTGAACTGAACCGATTACATCAGATTATATATATTTGACTCAAACATGTCACAAGAATTTAATTTGATTTATGTTAGGTTCCCACGTGGCAAGTACCTAACGCTACAGCAGAACATTTCAGAGACTTTCTGCTGGATGCACAGTTTACACATGGATATAACTAATAAAACATCACGCTTATATTCCTGTATTTCTGTTTAAACTGTGCGCTGAGGTGTCAACTATCAAACCAGCTGTGACACATCTGTAACTACAGCATGTAACTTTTAATATTCGTGGTTAAAAATCAAATATTCTGCTAACTTTTAGATATAAATCTGACTCACTCTCAGTTCATTCACTTTCTCTCACAACACATGGTTGAACTCCCTTCTTCATGCAGATTTTCCTCTGTTTTGTAAGTAATAAAAAGTCGTGACATCCTTTAAGATGAACTAGCCTGCTGCCCCTACAGGACCTGTTATCTTCATGTCTTGCACCTCTGACAGTTCCCAGATAATGAGCAATCACATCTTAAGGAAACGCCAAATTTGTGCAAATATAGGCTCGGTGTGAATAGAAATATTTCAAGGCACTTTCAGCAGCTTAGCCTTTAGTATATTTAAATCTCTTTTATCACTCTTATTTTTTTCTCTCTCACTATGTATAATAACCTATGAGACGACCTGAAACTACTGGAAGTTTCTTCCTTAGTAACTGCACGACTTTCTTATAAATATTCCACCATCAAAAGTTTGTATTAAGAAGAAGGAGAAAAATGAAAAGCTACTTACAATTACATTCCCTACCTCCAGAATAGATGCGGCCATCCCTGAGAAACAAAATCCTTAGGAAGCTGAGGGGAGTGGGAGCAGCGCAGCTCAGAGTCCCGGGACAGTTTGGAAGAAGTTGGGCTCTAACGCGGGGAAGTGTTTTGAGGCACTCGGGTCCCGCCCCCTAATTATAGGCTATGGGCTCTTTGAAGACTCGCTAAGAAGCAATAAAAACCCAGAGCCGAGGGAAAATGGACGGAGATTGGTGGCTAAAATCAGGACATCCCACCTCCCCAAACGAGAGTGTCGAATCTTTTTTTTTTCAATATAAATGCATGAATGGGTTAGTCATCAATCACAGTGTGGACATTATTTCAATTTCACTGGCATTATTTTTTCCACTGGGATTAGTCCAGTGGAGTCTGAAGGAAACGACTACATTTGACATCCCCTCAGAGAATTATCTGGATGGACTCGTCTATAGAGACGCTCACGCACGCCCTCAGTTATAAGCTGGCTGTGTTAGACACTAAACTGCAAAACTGCAAATAAAAAGTGCGAAACGACTTAAGCTTTCTCTTCTGCTTCTTCCCCGAGAGAGCAAAATAACAAAAGAACGTGTAGCCTCTGCCACATAAATTTAAAAAGAAGAAAAAAAAATGAGTTGACCGAGTCTGTGGTTTCTATCAGAGATTTTATTATTCTGGTTTCAACCCTCTCTCTGTTTCCAATATTCTTAAACGCATTTAACTGCCTTTTCAGACATTAACTGTGATGGTTAAAGAGGTTAAACTACAGAGGCATGCGAAGAAGAAAAGGATCCAGTCATTAAATAAAATAAAGAAAAGATTATCACATCAAATAAAATGAATTAAAACGCTTAGTTTAAAAAAAAAAAGACCAAAAGGAAGAAGACTGTTTCCTTAAAGTGGGAAATAGGGGAAGAAATAAAAGATTAAGATTAAGAAAAAAGTTGAAAATCCAGAAATATGTAAGAAATATGTCTTTCAAATATTATGTTAACAGAGGAAAACTGTTAGTTAAAAAATGGGCTGTTGGATAAATTTTTCAAGTTGTTTTAAGTTTGCCAGCTTAAAACAAGTTTGCTCCCAAACTGCTTTTAAACTGACTGGAGCAGTCTCTTTGCATGTTAGACTCCATTTAGATTCACAAAACATAAACTAAAAATTACTATTTGTTAAGAGGTTAATTCTATTGGTTTCCAGTATATCCAAATTATTATATTATCACAAACCTGCCAGACTCAACTCTTCAGCTGATTCTTTTCATTGCATAAAAATATAAAGATAAAAATTCATACACATTAGGTAAATGTGTTAAATTAAGGAAAATTGAGCATAAATTAAAAACTGTACAAAACTGTACATTTATGGATCATAACATGAGCCCAAGAGTGAATGAAGGGCTTTTACAGATTATTATTATAAAAACATTAGGGTTTAAATAGAGTGGAATCTGTGGGTAAGCAGGCCTAAATGAAGGTTAAAGTAATGATATTTGCGGTGTTTACAGTACAATAACTGTGTTATAAATGGGGAATAAATATACATGTCAGTAGTAGCTTAGTTTTGATTGAATTTAAATTTCTTCTACTGAGGCTTCCCTACACGACAGGCCATGTTCATTTGACAGATTTTGTTCACTGGTTAAAAAAGTCAAAAACTCAACTCTGAGTCTCGAGTAAGACAGAATCTCAGTGCCTTTTTGTGGGCGTCTCGTTTTCTGAAGGAGAGCACAGAAGATTAAAATTGTTGTCAAAAATAAACATATAATTTCTGTCCTTATTTTCTCCTCAATTACAGGGCATGGTCAGAGCTGGGCTTGTCGTTCTGGAGAGTCTGGCCCTCACATGAACACAGCGGCTATATTTGGCAGTCTGCTCTCCAACTGACCTTCATCGCTTTATTTTCTTATTCCAGAAGGAGTGTGAGTGGAAGAACAAAGGCCACAACATGCGATAGTTCACACTGTCACACACTCCTACAAGACTGTGTTCGCAGTCATATAAACTTACAGAGCCCACTATGAACTGAGGGCAAAATATCTATCTATCTATCTATCTATCTATCTATCTATCTATCTATCTATCTATCTATCTATCTATCTATCTCTATCTATCTATCTATCTATCTATCTATCTATCTATCTATCTATCTATCTATCTATCTATCTATCTATCTATCTATCTATCTATCTATCTATCTAAATCCTCAGATGTGTTCTACGTGGCGGTCTTTTGACACTTTCAGGGGTATTTCTCTCCCCTCTCATTTGACACATGGTCTCTTACTGGTGTAAGGTCTTTAAGTGAAGTGTTCCTTTTCTTCTCACTCTTCATTAATACTTTATGTCTTACACTTAAGTGAAATGATAGGGGACGTAAAAAAAGCTCTTATACTCCTGTAAAGTGGTCTGCCATGGGCTGTTTTTCCTCATTTTTTATGAGACTTGTAGTAATCTGAAACTTTGGCGTGCTCCCATTTACAGTTCTCTTCAAAAGACAACAAGTGAGATCTATAATTAGAGAATGCGTTGAGCTCTTAACAGGCTCTTCAAAAAGCTTTCTCTGCCCTATTTGCTATTTTCTACGTTGTGTGGCTTGGATTTTTGCGTATAGACACTGTGAGCCCAATGAACCTTTGGGTGTTGGGTGGGCATAGTTTTGTTGCTCAGGGCTGATTATAAGTTTCATTATGTTACTGTACATGTGACAACTATCACGTTTCATAGCTAGCTCATCAACCCATGTCTGTTTGAATGAATTAAGTGGTGTGTGATTGCCTTCTTAATAAAATCATTTTTATTTAGCCCAGTTTTCTGTCTAACCACCTGCAAGTTTAATCAGCTTCATTTCATTTTTCTGCACATTAAATAAATAGATTCCTTTACTGCTTCATCAGTAATATAGAGCTGTTTAAACTTGGCTACACCTTACTCTGAGATTTTATGCAAACATGGAAGTCTTGTGCGTTTCTGTTGCACAGACACAGCACTGGCATCATCTTCTTCTTTGATTTGATTGCTGCTGGCAGGTAGATACTTCATTTTTGTTATTTGCCATTAAGTTCCAAAGATACTTAGAAAGTGTATCTTCCACCAAGACCAATACCCAAACTGGTAGTTATGAAGAAAGTGTTCTGGGTCTGCACCAAAACTGTAATTTCCTAACTCTCTATGTCTTCACCAAGTTTGATTAATATATTTTCTGTTGCCTAATCTTCTTACATGACTGAAGGAATGCAATGAAACTGCATCCAACACAGACTGTCTCTGCCATGTTCACCAGTGGACAGTTTTTCTGTGGGAGCTGTTACACGTAGGCGAAGAATCTGCTGGTTTTTCAGCTAAATGGTGGGTTGAAATGATGGCAGTGACAATCTGGTGCTTTAAAAAAAATCATGTTTCATACTCCGTACCTGACAACAATCACAGTTTGAAGTTTTTACTAATTAAATGAAACACAATATTTAAAAAGGCTCCTGTATGTCCTGTCTGTTCATGTAACACTGTGAATATTAATGCTATTAATGCAATTTGAGAATCTGCCCCAAAAGGTTAAACGTCCAGATGGACAGAATCAACCTTTTGGGATTTACTTGCCTACATGATTGAGCATACATCAAGATAATTTGAGAAATGTTTATATGTCAAAAATGTAAAATGAAAATTTTCTTAAAAATGATAAAAAGATTTCAGTCCTGATATCAAAATCCAGTTCTTCCACATTCTACCATACGTGTTCCTCGCCTTTTGGAGTATTTTCTAATTTAAAAAGAAAATATTGAAAAAATGTGTACACAGTGGAAAAGATTAATGTGAATAGGTCAGGATGTAGGCAACTCTGGAGCAGCTTATTTTATGTACTTGTGTCTCGGAAGTGGTAAATTTTAAGTTTATAATCTGGATGATTTTAAAGAAAATATATATTTTGGTACCTGGTACATAGTACCTCGGATATTATAGTCTTTTAGTAGTAAGTTCATACAGGAGGAATCTTTCCTGAAGTAGTAGTAAAGAGTAGGACAGATGATTTGTTGTGGTGTTTAATAGAAACGAAGCTCAAGACTGCCTAAAACATAGCAGCAGGACTTTCTAGATGTTAGGTAATGTCTACATATACTAGGGATTTTTTCATAGGTCTTTCTAACTTTCTGTTTTCTACATTGGTTTTAAATTGGCCTCTTGGTATCATTAGACCATTACAGCAACCAAGTAAGTGTGTATAATGGTGGATCAATGGAATATCTCGCCGTAATGCATTTCCCTTGAAAATTCCCTTTTGGGCTGCAACCCTCAGAAAATTAACAATGTTAATAATACTGCGACAGAGGGGGAAAATTGAAATGATTAGATGTGTTTTACTTTGGTGCTGATGGAAATGTGGTGAGAGGGAATCAGGGTCAGGGATAGACTTGCCTTGCAGCATGACTCCGTGCTATTTTTCCAGGCTGTGTGGTCAAAGATTCAGAGAGCTTGTCAACGGAAAATGGGAAAGCGAGAGAAGTGGGGGAGAAGAGAGAAAGAGGGAGATGTATAGACAGCGAGACTGGGAGGAAGAGAGACAGGGCAGCGCAGCGGTGACTATCGCGTTCATTTGTACTGCTGTTGATGCTGCTGATTGTGGCCTCCGATGTTAGTCACTTATGCCTTCGTTGAGTCCGACATGAAAAGGAACAACATGCTTTTAATAAAATGACCTGCCAGGCTCGAGCGGTCTGTCTCTGCTTTGGGGCACGTTGGTGGTTTTGAGTAATTTAACCGCCAACAGGCTACATTTCAACCAGTGGACAGAACATATTCAGACACGAGACGTGGTGGTAGTCACATACAGCAGGGACGATGATGTACCAGTAACCTTGTCTCTATATGACGAAAAGAAGCAAAATGTTTCCCTCTGCTTATTTCCTCGAGTGTTGTACCTGAATAGCTAAAAAGTTTGTTCCCATTTTGTGCCTCTGTGACCACACATGTCCAAAATAATCCCACATGGGGAGACATTACATTTTTCTCTCTATGAAAAACTTTTACTGTTAGCAGAACGACACACTTATTATCCCACTTTGGAATCACGAATGTTGTGCAACATGCTGAATATGTTGTTGCTGTTCAGCGTATTACATGCTACTATCAGC